GGTGATGCTTACCAGCTTCCCTATATTGCAACTGTTACACTGATGTTTAGCAACACGTGGGAACCCAATACCCTTCAGATAAAGGGCATGAAGCAGAACTTGCAAACAGGCTTATAACCAGCTTCATGAAATCATCACTGAGAAGCTCTGAGGCACATATTCTCCTGTATTTGAGGCACTGTACTACCTTGTCACTATAACCTTGCCTACTTTGTACAATTAGGATACATTTGGGTACTCCCATAATACCTGACAAACTTATAGGCAATATCATTAAATACCCACACTGGCTTTAGCTACTTCTAAACACATTTCACTTTGCTGAAATATTGTATTAGCATGATTACCCAGAGTTACTGAAAATCAACTAGTTTGGATAATTTCTGGTAACACTTTTTTGTATTTGTATGGTCTACCATTTTTAAGTAAAAGTGTAAGTAGCTCATCAGATAGTAATACTGCACCGGAGGCATTCTGGATTCACTTTGTGTTCTGACACATCTCTACCAGCATCTTCAGGGAAGGCTGGAAAAGAAAGTGACATCTTGAGTTGGCAAACCTCTCAAAATTTAGAAGACGGCAACAGCATTCCTTCTAGGATGGACAAGTGTTCAGAGCCCACAGTTTTGAGAAAATGCATTCAGACCAGTAACGATAAGAACACTGATTAAGAAAAACTGTTGGCTTCCTCCAAAGTATCTATAGTACATGAAAGAACTGCACTGGAAAACAAAACAAACAAACCAACACGACAACAAAACCAACAGACAGCAGCCTACTCTAAAGCATTCTAATTGGACAGCTGTCAAAAGCAGCACTAAGAGTTGCACTACTACCGCTAATCCCTTGCTTTTGGTCATTATATGTCTCAAAAAATAACTATTCTTGCGTAATTTATTTAAACCAGAAAACTTTTTCCACACACATTGCTTGTACAAAGCACTCTCCTGCTCTGTGTGCCTTCTAACTAACATTACCTGTACCTGCTTGTGTCCTCGAACCAGAAGAAATCATGAAGAGTAGCTGCCTGTTGTCTTCCCTCTAATCCACCTGCTTCGGCATCCGGTATTTTTGCAAGAGATACAGCAGCATAACCAGCATTTCCTAATCCCCCCTCTTACCAGTGTATTAGGGAGAAGTAAAGCCTACTTCAGCAAAGACGAGATTTGTACATAAAGATCCTGAAAATATTTGTTAACATAATGCTTTATTTATTCAGCTTGGCAAATGCTTTTATTTTAACCTCAAGTATCTTTAGTAAATGTCAGCGGTAAACACAAAGTCATTGCTGGCTAACAAGCCTCCTTATGTGGGTTTCTAATTAGTCTGTAACTAAGAAGAAGCTTTATGTTTGAAACAAGCATTCTATAGAGAGCTAAAGGAAATCAGATGATCACGTATTTCTTCATGGAGTGGCACACGTGTATGGGCACCAGACGCAGAGGAAAGGAGCTCCTGGGATCAGCACACAACAACTCCTCCACGCTTTTAATCTAGAACACACAGAAACATCATCTTGCTCTTGCAGTAGCACTGCAAACTTCAACACCTCTGCTGCAGCAAGTATTACGAGGCTGCATACGCTTTTTATGTGCAACTCCCTTCCCAGTAAGGATTTCTGTGTTTCAATGTGTATATAAACATAAAGCCACACATGTTCACTCAAATGTTTTTAAAAAATCGTAATCAGATCACCGAACGGGCAAGAAAAACATGCAATGTGCTAAATTAGAGCTTCATTTTCATGTCAGGAAACATCAATTAACTGAGTTCTGTACAGCTGAGTAGCTTAAGAACTTCTGCCAAGACCCTGAGCTATGACTTCTTTTAAGTCTAACAGCCAACCCTGCCAAAAGACCATAAAAATTGATTTTGTGTTTCCGGTCTCTCTATGCCAGCTGGAAAAAGTATAGATTTTTTTTTCCCCCCTAGGTTTCTGACAAACAGAACCTTTCCTTATCTCACACCTTCCACGCTACTACGCAAACCAAAGCAGAACGTTTCGCAGGTTCTTACAGCTGATCCAAGTTATGATTAAGGTAGAAGAAAGTTTCAGATGTTACACCAAACACTGTCTTTTTAATCTGTTTTGAAAAGACTCCAGGTCTGCCATCACAGGGAGCACTGTGCCCCCACACTCGCACGGCTGTGGCACACACTCAGCAAATGGTGACTTTCACATCTCTTCTGGGGAAGTGTTAGCACGGCACCGTCAGTCTATGAGCTACCTCTTTAAATTCCAGTATCAACCCTCAAAATGGATTTAGCATCTTTGGCATCAAACATTAATAAGGCTCACTTAGGCACTCTTAATGTGAAGGAAAATTGGGCTCGTATGAAATGGCTACACTGGAACGTTTCATGCTTTTGCAAGTGAGGGAGTATGATTATTTCCTACAGTATGTCATTATCTTCTGCCCTGTGGTTCTTTTTTTAAAAATTATCTCTTCTCACTCAAGCTGCCTACACTATGTTTTTAAGCTATGCAGTTTTCAATTTATGAATTGCATGCATGCAAATTTTGAGCAACTATAATATGGTCTATTACTGAGCTTCTGGTAAAGTATATTCCCCTCGGACACTGCTAATGGAACTGCAATTCCAGATGCTTGTAAGAAATATATATATTTAATATATTATAGATTTGACTCTCAAGACATAAAATCAGGTCATTTGTTTCCAAGAAATAAACAAGGAGCAAGAAAACACTATTTCAAATACACGTGGAATTGCCTCACACTTTTTCCGAGCAGGTTTATTTAAGCATGGCAGGACATGTCAGCTCGCATACTCACAGAGCAAATGACTTCTCTGCCCACTTGCCCTCGTGCCCCAAAGCTCCCCCCTCCCAGGGCCATCCTACAACTCTCACCCCACTCTGGATATCCACCAACGGGGACTCCTCCCTGAGCCACAACCATCATCTCACGTTCCTTACGACAAAACAACTCTCCCAGAAAATGAAGCACAATGAAGCAGTTTAAACAACACGCAATAGATTAGCGCAGCAATCATACCACCTGCTTCAAGGATCAACACTGCCGGTGCTGATCCATAGTCTGGCTGTAGTCTACAACATGTACGTGCATATAGAACAACGGTGTTCTGAACAAAGGTCAGTTTGGTATTTCAGTGAGTGAAATACCATTGAATTACAGCGTTTTGCATTGCGTTTACAAGGTCATAAACACGGAAGTCCCTCTTTTTCACTTGCAAACGGCTGTTAAATAAGGGAAATAAGAGCTGACAACCCCCTGACAATCAAAAGAAATTATTTCTTTGGATGCCAACATCTGCCTCCACATTGCGGCCAAGTGCTTTCTGTGCTCATTTAGGACTCCACACAGAAAGCTTTTCAGTTACATTTACCTAGAGATTTCCCTCCACCACTTCCCATCTGACAGAAATCACTCAGCTGGGTCTGATGAATAATAGCAAAAGGCAGCTTGTATCAGAGATGATTGAATTACAGATTGTTGGAAGTGCCATAAAGCCTCATTCCAACGACTACATTTAATTTACTTACTATACTGACTACCAGGAACTGGCAGTCGGTTGATATCTTCATTTCACAAGACTTAAAACAAAAGAAATATTAACATTCCTCTCCACTTGCTGACTACTCTACCTAGAGGAGTTTGATAAGCCAAATTAACTTTTAAACAGAGCACGGATCCTGCACCCAGACCGCGGGAGCGCACAAGGCAGACCAGAAGATATGAGAAATCAAAGCCAGCGGTATGCATAGAGGGAAATAGCATCCGAGAAACCAACATGAAATCGCACGGGGGAAAAAATAAATTAGCGTGACAGCTTAAGTAATGGACGCGTTAAATAAATAAAAAATAAATAAGCGGGTGGCGAACGGTGACGGAGGGGACGTCGGGCCGGGCGCTGTAGGTACACACGGCCGTGCCCCGGGCCGCGCCCCGGCGCCACCGGACAGGGCGCGGTGCCCCGGGCGAGGGCACGACGGCGGCAACGGCACCTCAGACTTGGCTCTGCCAGCCTGACCCGGGCCGCGGGGCAGCGGGCGCTCGGCGGCGGACGGGGAGAGGAGAGGATAGAGCGGAGGACGGGGGGTGGGGGGGGGGGGCGCGGGCGCCCCTTTGTGCGAGCCGCCCCCTCCCCCCGCGGGGAGCCCCCGCCCCCCGGCAGCGGAGCGGCCCCCGGGCGGCCGCCCC